AGACATGGCTCTTTCAGCAAGCGGACCTGACCTAGGGTGGATTTTATATTGGGTTTTAAATATTCGGAAGACGCAACATTAAAATTCGGTTTAATTCGGTTTTAAGGGGGGGATTGCATATATGTTAATGGTTTTAAATATGTTGTGCGCCGCCCTGAGTCCCTGTCGGGAGAAGGGCGGCATATAAATTAAATTAAATTAAATTAAATAAATAAATAAATAAATAAATAGATGCCAGGAACAACCAGTAGCCTCATCTGGGATAATTCCATAGAACTTGTACAGGATTATATAGGATGATGAAAATACAATTCTGCAAATACCTAGGTATCAAGACACTTAGGATTTTATAGCTCAAAGTCAGAATTTTCAACTGCACTCAGAAACTTATTGGTAGCTAAGACAGGTTCTACAATACCAGTGTTATATATATTCCTGTAGCCAACACCAGGAACCATTTTATACCAGTTCCGGTTTCCAAGTGGACTTTACAGGGAACTATGTAGAGATCATTGCAATGGTGATATAATTACTAATGTTGAACTGTTCCCTAAAAACACCAAAACTAAATATAATATTAACCTTCTCATAATTACATCCAAAATTGGGGTCAGAAGATTACCTTTGGAACCTCTGGGTTTCAACTGGCAGCAGATGTTTGATATCAGCACTACCTGTGAAGATTCCTTCCAAGTAAACCCATCGCCTCTGGACATCAATCCAGACATCAAACAGTGCCATAATTCGATTCAGTTTGTCTTCCCAGCTAAGAGCATCTTCTTCAAATACCTAAAATAAATAATAAAGCTTCAATTATTGAAACAAATTCACAGTTAGGTTGAAACTACTAATTAAGGCATCTATTAATTTATGAGTCACAATAAAAAAAAAATTATTCAGTAAAAGTACTGATTATATTTCCATAAAGACCACAATATGATATACAATAAAACATAATAAACAAATGTTAAAACTTTTTAAAAGTTTATTCAAGCCAAAAATTAAAATGTTAACAACCAAAATAATTTAATTATTTTTGAAAATATGCAGTGCTTTTGCTACATTTTTATTAGACAGGCTCTGCAAATGATGGTGTTTCTCAAAAAGACTTCTTACAGATCTTAAAACCAGGCAGACTAGTGACACAAGCAGATATTCAGATAGCTGGGCAATAAAACCATCCATGCTGTGAACTGTGATTGGAAACAATTGTCTGTCATTCCTGTGAGTAGCCTAGCTGCCACATTTTACTGCTATTGGGTCCTCTGGATATTCTGCCGATGATCATAATTTATAGATAGTTTTGTATAGAAGCTTGCACATTGTGCTTATGCTTGTTAAACTTTTTCAAGAATAAACTGAAGCATGGTTTAACCATATACTATTCAAAAATACTGCAATACAGAAAAGATAAAATAAATGGAGATAGTCATTACCTTGTAGTATGGAGAAAGCTTCATTGCAGACACACTGTTGATGTGCTCTTTGACCTTGTTGAAGAGGTCATCCCAACCACGAATCAAACGGCATTTGTTTTGATAGTTAACCAAGTCCAACTCATAGGTATTCCATACTTCACGTATCTTTAAACAAAGGAAATAACAATGAGATCTAGAGCTTAGGGTAGTAAAGACTATGAAACGTCTTTACAAAATCTTGTTACAAAATACAATCAATTCATATTTTCACTAGAATATAAATTAGAAAATCTATGAAATGATATAGATATTAAAAATGAATTGCTACCTGTTTCAAGAATTCTTCCAGTGCCATCTCTCCTTGTGCCACAAGTAGCACATCCTTCACAATCAATTCATTCTTCTGCAAGTCAACATCCCAAATCTGCCCCAGAGTTAGTTCAGAAACTACCCAATTGACATGTAGCCTCTTCATCAGTTGTTTCCAGTGACGATCTTTAAGAGCTTCTGACTTTAGCTCAATCACCAACATATTTATCTGGAAGGAAAAAACAAAGTATAAAATTGTTCTTTTAAAATTAACATACTGCTATATTCAAATAGTTTTCAAAAGCAAACTTACCTTCATGTAACCCTTCAGAAGTCTCTGAACATATTCATAGGATGCATACTGACGTAGCCGAGCAGGAAAATTTTTCAGCTGGTTCAATAAGCCATCTAAACTTTGTCGAAGCTGTCGAAACAAGAACAATTTGGAAAAATTGCAAATCTTGAATTCTATTGATCTATGGATGTTAATATATGCTTTATTACATACTTATTAACATATTTTAAACTAAAGGAATCCTTTATTTGAGATGCTGACCAGCTGTATACTTATTATGGCTTGCAAATATAAATGATGATATTAATTCACTGTAAAATTTCTTGGCCTTATTCGGTCTTTATTCTAACCCTATTTATATGATTGTTATCTAGTAGTGTCAAACTGATAGAAAGTAGATATACCAAACCAATTTTCCAAATCTACTCTGGAGTCTTGGGGGACTTTGCAAGACTAGGGTACACTAAAGTTGTAGCTCAAAGAGCCTCTAAAATTGCATCTGTTTTTTTTCCCCCTTAGTTAAAATTAACTCAAAGTCATCCAGTTCCAATCTTTTTGAAAAGAAGTAGCTGATGTCTTATCTAAGATACAAACCAATAAAATAGAGGCGATAATACTCTTGTAATATACTATATGTAATAGCAAAATAATGAAAGAAAACTTATCTTTAAAAAATCTAGATACCTGTAATATATTACATTTCATAAAGCAGCTCTTCACTTTTTAAAACCACTTTTTCCCCTCTGGAAATAGTGTCACTTCTATTTTTTTGTTTTATTTATTTCATTTAACAAATTTACTACAACCATTCAACTACCAAAGAACTCTGGGAAGATGGATGAACATAACCAAACTATAGGAATTCAATTAAAAAGAAACTGTGTCAAGACCCCTAAAAATAACATTATCAACACATCAAACAAAACCACATCCTTCAATGTCCTGGTCCAGCTTCTGCTTGTTTAAACATTATTTTGACATGGGTATGCCACATTTCATCCAATGATCAGAATAGTTTGTACTATTGTACAAACTATTGTACTATTAAAAATGGAAAATAAAACAATAGGCAATAAACAATGTAGTAAAAGTTAATCCAAGGGTTGTAACACCAAATTGGATGCAATGTTCAAATACCCTTCCCAACTACTATTCATATGAAGTATATATAATGCTATGTTGAAAAAGTCAATTTTGATGGAAGTAGGAGCTTAAAAGAAACTAGTATGGAGATATCCAGTATTAGTCATCAATGGGTTATCTCCAGAGGTTCTTAGTTTCTAATATGGTTCAATAATGGAAGCATAGTGATTGAAGTTCAGTGATTCATCCTTGTGGACTCTCAATGGGCATAACTAAAGTTCCTAGGCCTCTCATTAAGAGATTATCCCATTTGTGCTAATGAGTGTTTTCCCACACATCTGAAAAAAACAGTTTTAATTTCTACATTGTAAGAGTTAGGGACATAATATATTACATAGTTAAGAATGGGTGACACCCCCTACCCCCAGTTCTACATTCACATGAATAGCTGAAGTACCTTTCTGGGTTGTACAGAAACCCAAGGCTGTTCTTTCATTTGATCAATCTGTTCCCAAACTTTTGAAAGCTCAGACCAGACTCCTTTAAGATCCTGTAGCTCTTCTAAGGCAACCTGTGATGCAAAAAAGGTAAAAATATGAATACATTAAATATGCATAGATACAGCGATAAAATATGTGATTTCTGGAGAATCACTGTAATTATAGCAGGACATATGTGTATATGTGTTTCTAATTTGAATCTCATAATTATAAAACATTCCTGTTCCAATTCTTAGAATTCAAACTGTGTTTTTTCCTTACTTGGACACGTTCTTCACTGCCACTGAGAAGTCCTGTATCTGTTAGCTCCAGAGCTTCTTTGGCCTTTGCGCATTTTTCACGGTCATCTTTCAACCTTCCAAATTTTCCTTCATAGATGGTAAGTGCTTGGAGAGCCTCCTCTGGACGTAGGTTGCCCTTAAGAAAGGAGTTATGAAACTTTAATATAAAGTTTAAAATATGTTATTTTAGAAGTCACTATTACATAATTTGACCCTGGAACTTTCTATCGTATTTTAGCTTTATAGCTGCTATAAAACACCCTTAACTAATTTTGAGATATACCTTATGTATTCTGTGGATACTATTTTAAGTATTGTGGAATTCTACTCAGGGAACCTGGTGTGTGTTTGAAACATGTATATTTCTCAGACAGTAAGAACACCATATTAGGTCTATTGTTTCAATCACTGTGTTCGACCAGAGCACTAAAATTAATTATAGATTTGTGATATGATCAAGGAGAGTCACCAAAACAATATTAAAGCCATGCAAATATATGGAGTGAAAATAATAAATAGATCTTCAAATGGATGTTCAAGCCAAAAGATAAAATGTACTGGTTGAATTAATGGAAACTTACTGTTACAGGCTTTGTTTTCTCCCAGTCTGTCAATAAGTCCACTGTGCGGGTTTCTACAGCTCGATCTTCTTGAACAATTTTCATCTGCAAGTTTGCTACTTGTTGCTGAATGGCAGAATCTTTTCTTCGCATAATATCATTGAAAGCACCCCATTCTCCTTCAATGTTGTCAATATACAACCAGGATGAAGGAAACTGGAATCTCTGCTTCTCAAGCAAGCGTTGGCCATTACGGTATAGCTATGTGGTCAGAAAAAAAAAGTTATATGGTAAGATCAAAAGATAACCAAGCCTGAATTTTAAATTAGCAGCTGCTACTATCATATGAAGAACTTAATAACTTTATTAGTTGAAAAAGTTGAAACAATCATGCATGCATTTTTTAAAAAAAATCTAAAATTTGACAATTTATAATCAGAATATATATTTTAAAAACATTTAAGAAAATCTGCCATAAAAAGCTTACCTCAACTTGTTTCTCAAACTGCTTGATTTTGCGTTTCAGTGACTGCACATATGTGATAAATGTGACAGCATCAGATGTGCTAGCTGTATCCACGGAGTGTTGCTCCAATTCTTGACGTGACTACAAGAAATGGAATAAAGCACAAAGATATAATTATATCAGGAAACATCAGACTAACTTACAATAGAGAAGCCTATTCTAAAAATTGATAGATCAGAAAGGAGATGCCACTGTTACTAATGTTTTTTCCCCTAAGATTCCCAAATCAATGCAAACTATGGAAAAAGACAACTCTTTTATCCTATCTGTAAAGACAGTAATGGATTGGGGCCAATTAGTTTACCTCTCCTTTTTGTTAGGTAACTTAATATAACAAATGACCATCACATTTACTATAGAATATTCTTACCTTGGAAATCTGAGAATGGAATTCTGTCATGTTTTGGCCCAGCATTTGACCAAATTTGCTGAGAACTTCTTTATGCCAGGAGTCATACTTCAAGTTCACTTTGGATTGAACCTACACAATGAAGATGATACTTTTATTCTATACCCTTCTGTAACACACAAAACCCTGCTTTTATATTTATATTGCATTTCCTCATTCATTCTCATCCTTTTATTTTTTGCATGCTTTAAAGGAGTTACTAAAAAAAAATCAGTAATATCAATGTTTTGGACTTTCAAAATTTGCTTTACAATCTGATTAGATACTAAATTAACAAACAATATTACTCAATAGTATGCTTCAAAATATTTACCTTTCCATAATCTATGATAACAGGCCCAAATTCCTTCCTAGTTTCTGCATTGTCAAAGGTTCCTCTGGCTTTTCTGATTTGAACCAACAGTGCTTGCCACTTGTTTAAGTCTTCTCCAAGTCGGTTATAGATATTTTCAGCTTGCATGTCCCATAAACACTGGTACTGCAGCCAAACCTATAAACCAAACACACCCAGAAAGAGAACTTGAGCAATTCATTTTAAGAAAGAAGTCATCATTTCTGAACAAATTGAAAATTACTTTTATGAATTTAAGTCTTTTAAAAAACAAAATACAAACTCTCCAACCTATAAAATTAATGTACATGGTAAGATCTTAAAGGCAGAACATTCAGCAATAAATAATCAAGACGTCAATCAATCACTCAGAATACTGATACATTATAATCTCAACATGAACCCCAAAAAAACAAACCACAATCCTACCTTAACATATTGTTCCACCTCAGTTACAATCCCCTTAACAGCAGAATAAGCCTCCTCTAGAGCTGAAGGACCATCTGGCATCCGTGTCAAAGCATTACGATAAAACTTTTCTTCTTCTGATAATTCATAGTGTACACCAACCTAATCAAATCCAGCATTAAATACAGAACAATTTTTTTAAAAAAAAATTGAAACAATTAGCAGTTTCACAAAAATTTGTGAAAGTCTCAATAATTCTTTGAGTCAAATGTGTGTGTGTGCGCGTGTGTATGTTTTACCTGGTATCTCTGACTTTGGATTCTAGGAAGTGAGAGTATTATTGTCTTCCAAGCAAACAATTCTTGGAAGAGTTTGTATCTGCAGTCTTCAATTGGTGGATTCAAATATATCACTTGATTGGTTATTCGTAGTTCATGTACAACATTCTGCAAAAGTATAAAACCATGTTCAGTTTTGTTGTACTAGATAAAATATATAATATTCATTTTAAAAACCTTCCAAGGTTACAGTTGGAGAACAAGTTACAATGTGATAGACCAAGCTGCTGAGATATATTACTTCAAACTGTATCTCAAAACTGATCTCTTCTATGAAACTATTTCATTAACCGTTTAATGTTTGCAAAGCCTAAGCACCAGAGTCAACTTTTTTTCCTTATCCCACAGCTTCAATTCTTCTATTCATTCCCAAAGCATAAATATTCACATGAAAAAGAATTTAGGACAGAGACCTGTCTCTTTTGACTATGAAAATTACATACATTTATCTTATTTGTTTGATGTTCCAATAGTAAAAGCAGCAAGTTCAGTGAGACAAAGACAACAAGGGAATAAATATGAGGTACATGAAAAGAAATTAATATAATCCACACACTGGAAACCAGACTGAAGGTTTGAGAAAAGTATTAAAAATCTTTAGCTATTGATTAGTCCAGAGGTCCCCAATCTTTTGGGCACCAGGGACCGGTTCCATGGAGAAAGGTTTTTTCATGAACCGGAGTGCGCGTGGTTTGGTGTGCTGCCTGCATCCTATGGATGGGGCTTTGCTTGTTTGTGTGGCCCGGTAGATGGCATGCCGCGGCCTGGTACTGGTCCACGGACCGGGATTTGGGGACCCCTGGATTAGTCACAGTAGAACATAGGCATCCCAGTTTTCTCTTATCCCCAGGCTTTAAATAAATTGCCAAAGTGTTACACTTGTAAGCTAGAAATTTTCTAGTAACTCTGGAAGATAGCTTCTCTTAAAAATTACATTTACTGCGTTTGTCAAATATGGAATAAATTTCAACAGCATCACTACTGATGTTCTTCAACAGATACTAACAGTATTCAAACTGCACCGATATAGTTTAAAATGAAAACTTTATTTACTTTGATTTTGGGCTCTCCTCCTGGTTTATGACTGACTTGTGGAGCATCTGTATCCATATCTACTTCTGCTTTGTCATCAGCTTGACCAAGAAGGACTTGTGTCCATGCTCTCAACCCTGCTTGCAGACGAACTCCTAGTATTCTCTCAATCTAGGATGCAAATATATTCAACAATTGTTATCACTTGACAGCAGTAATTTATTTTTATTCATATTTTAAATGAAATTTATTTGCCAATGGTTTCATATGATCCCCTTAAATTTTAAAGCAAAATATGGTTAAGAATAAAATTTCCAAACATTGTTTCTGGGTTACTGAATAAAACTTGACCGTTTAAAATTTTTACCTTTAATATATTCAGATACACAATTTATAAGCTGCTATAACTTCAATAAGTCTGAACAGTTTAGAAAAGATACTGAAGTAAAATAAAAAGAATTTTAAGAACTTCCATTCACCATCAACAAAAAATATCCTAGCGGCGGTAGGCAACCTTGGCTCTTTTATGACTCGTGGACTTCAACTCCCAGAATTCCTGAGCCAGCGTAACATAGGTTTAGAAGTGTACTTAATAATCAAGGAAAAGCATATTTCTGGAATTGATACTTTGCTAAATTCTTATTGCCTTTTATTTCATAGATCATTTAGCTATTCTTCAATATGCATTTATGTATGTTAACATCTGAACAGAAAAACTGATAAAATAGTATTATTTTTATTAATCATAAAGAAATAGACTTGATTTCAAAATATTTATGCATAAGTAACATTGTACTATTATGTATGTTTGCAGATATGCTTTGCTGACCTACAGTGAGGGCTATTTTCAGGTTAAGTGTATCAACCTGAAATTTAGCAATGGAATAGAAAGGAAATAAAGAGAACTATGGACTTCCATCACCTTTTCAGATTTTTTTCCCTAGGATATAAACCAGAGAGTTTAGGAAGAAATACAGCCAGTGAAGCTTACCTCCATATCTAACTTATTCACCCAGATTGGTAAATTTGAATATGAATGAAGATTCAAATCATCCACAGCCTTCTGAACTCTGTTTAAAATTTCAGAGAATGTTTTATGATCATACATGCATGTTTCCAAGGATCTGACTTCCAGGTCTATTTTCTCTTCAATGATAAGCAAGTCATCCACCTAAAAGATAGAACATAAACCTTTAGTACTTAACAATCCTTTTCCCCAAAGCTACTTCTTGGTCAATGCAATTGCATAATCATTAATTTTATAGTCACTGGAGGAAGCAATTATGTTTGTAAGAGTAAGCAGTAAAAGGAAACCAAGCTGTAAGAAAACATGGTGGCTGGACACTATCAAAGCTGACACTAGCCAAAGCATAGAAAAACTCAAAAAAATAGTGCAAGATTGGAAGATGTGACCTGGTCCATAGACTCGTCAAGAGTTGACTAAATGGATATCATCATCATTACCATCATTTTAAAGAGCTAGTTTGATATACTGTTTAAGGCATCAGGGTAGAAACCAGAAGAATTCTAATCCTGCCTTAGGCATGAAAGCCGGCTGGATGATTTTGTACCTCTCCCAGCCCATGATGTCAGGCTTGGGTGACAGGCTGATCAATTCCTGTAGCAACCAGTGCATCAACACTTGGTTAATCTGAAAAATGGAGCTTGCACTTGTAAGAAAATGCTAGGACGACAAAAAAAAATAGCATAAATTTTATCAGCTAGGTCACTTAGAGTTTTAAGAATTACGATACACATACTACTTTGGTCTCTAGAGAAATGCCTGCAGAACCAGAAGATGTAATCAGTTTTTCTCCAAAGAGTAACTATTTTCTGCTCTTATCTTGCGTTTGGTCTAGTAGTTCAAACATTACTGGGTCACTCATCCATTTAAAACCCCAAACCTGAAATGAGTATGAAAATAAACTAACCTTTTCCTGAAAGTTGAAGACTGTCTCTGCCAATCGCTGGACATAAGGATCAAGTTTGTAAGATTCCCACACCAGTGCAATGCCCTCTGCAATCAAAGCCTGAACTTCTTTTTTAAGACCCGCAACCAAGAGAGAAATTGTATTTCGTTCTTCTACTTTTTCACAAGTACGTTCGTATGTGCGAACACTTTCAATCAAAGAGATGGCAAAAGGATAGAGCTGATTGGCTTGGTGAGCTTTGTTGACTATTGCAAGGGGAACCCGAAATCCAAGCCACTTGAGGTTACGGACTTCTTTTGATAGTGTAATTATTTCTGGGAGGAAGTTAACCTTTAGCTTGAGGACATTTCCTGTTCTGCCTCTCACACGAGTACTCTCAATGGTAAAAATGCGACCAGAGACACCAAGATTTCGTTGCTGAACCTTCCGAGCCCAATCATCAAATATTTCTTGAGTGTTGAGCTTCATACGGAAACTGTCTCCATCTTGCTTTAGCTTCTGTCCTTCTACATGGTTCTCCCAACCCTTCCCAAGAACATCTTCAACGCGCTTCATATAAGCTGTAAGTTGCCTGTCGATCTGTTTAGCCCAGATTATAGACCCTGCTACTGGAGGCAAATCTCGAACATGACTCATTTTGCAAGCCTGACTTTGAGGATACTGAACTTTGAATTTGTCATGAAGTGATTCTATATCATCTTTCACACGTTGGATTAACTGTGTTTGGTATTCACGGATAGCACCTCTAATATGTGGCCGAACAAACAGAGCATTAAATCTGGAGAAGATTCTGAACATTTCATTGGCATTTTTTGCTGTGCCAAGCTGATCCCTCAGGCGAGCAGTAATGCGGGTTTCAACTCTATCAATTCTTTCATCATATCGCTTCATTGCAGCTTCCCAGGCTTCTGTACCTTCTTTGGAAACATCCAAGCCATCTACTTCTTTAACGTTCTCATAGGCAAGATTTACTTCCTCAATTGCATTAGCATCAGCGGCGTCAAACAACACTTCTGCTACTTTCATATCTTGAGGCTCAGGTACATCTCCCTGATTTTGCTGGGCCACAGCAGTAACCTATTTAAAGTTATAGCAGTTAGTGGTATATTTATCATTCAGCATTCAGAAAAGTAATCTTTTAAGACTCAAATAAAAAATGGGTCTTAATATTCAACAAGGTTTCTAAAATAACCCCATGACTAGTTCATTTAAACTCAAGATGCCAACATGCTTGCTATGAGTTTTCACCATCTATTTTAATATGTCTTTGCAATATTTATCCCCACATGCTAATTGTGGGAGTTTCTTTGCTGTTCAAGCAATTTTTTGAGAAACTGGTTTATAATACCCTTTTCAATTAAAAAGAGCCTTCACTAGAAGAGTATGAAACAAACACCTGCAAGACTAAATGCATGCTTAAGATTTGGAAAACATTTCAATATTTTAAGAAAAATGGCAATATGTATTACCTGAGGCCTTAGGACTCTGACAATGACTGCTCTTAGTTGTTCATGCTGTCTCCGAAACTTCCTCATTTGATCAAGACGAGCCTGCAGCTTTCTGTGAGCAGGATTGATACGCCATACCATCTTCAGATTCTCTTCGCGCTTTCTTTTCACAATGTCTCTTAGTAGGACCTGCAGCTTCTCATATTCATCATCCCAAGATTGGAAGACTTCAAAGCACGCAACCATGACCTGAAATAATGTTGAATAAAGGAAATGAATATATCCTGTAATTGTTTTAGTTTATTATGCACTACATCAGTGGTTCTCAACCTTTTTAATGTCGCGACCCCCAACCGGTCGTAAGTCGAGGACTAAACCGGTCGTAAGTCGAGGACTAAACCGGTCGTAAGTCGAGGACTACCCAACCGGTCGTACGTCGAGGACTTTCCCTGCCCGGGAGCGCCGCACATGTGTGGTTCCGCCCCGTGCCGGCCGAGGCGTAGCTGGCAAGCGGCAGAGACGGAACAGGCCGACCACCAGCTGGCCCAGCCCAAGGGAGGTAAGGCACCCGCCGGAAAAGGGGAAAAAAATGGCGGACAAAAAAAATGGCGGACAAAGAAAATGGCGGACAGCCTTGCTTGGCGACCCCCATGAAATGGTCGATCGACCCCAAATGGGGTCCCGACCCACAGGTTGAGAACCACTGCACTACATAGTCTACTTCTTGATTTATAGAGACACAACTAGTAATCAGCTATTATGGAACAAATACTATTTCAGGGCTGTTTGATTATGTCCCCAAAATTTCAGAAAGTTCTAAATTGAAATTTGTGAGAAAGCTACCTTTAAAAATAATTATGCAGAATCACCACATGGTCAACATGAGTAATTTGCTTCAATGCTATGGTTTTTGTGCAGTAGGAAGTAGGCTGTGTGTCTTCTTAGCTGAAGCTAATACTCTGTTTCTGTCCAAATGTTTAGTCTGATTCCTCCTCATATCTGCATGTAAGCAAGACTTACCTTCTCAAATTCTTCATAGGCAACATGCATCAATTTTCGTGTGCCCAAAACTTTGAGTAACTGGGAACTTAAGTCTCTTGAAATGGCTTCCACTAAGCGCAGAGCTCTTTGAATAGGATATTTTGTGTTTCTGATTTTTCTCAGGTGAGTGAATATTGCCACCAATGCCTGTCGTATTTTATCCAATTCAGTTGCAGACAACAAATCATTTAGAGGGAAGTCTTTCATTAATGGATTATAATCATTAACTGTCTCCAATGCCTGTTTCAGACCTGGGTGTTAAAAAAGAAAGTGGATTTGATTTCTAAGTGTTAAGGCGGCCAAAAAATATATATAGTTCTGCCAAATTATGTTTCTGGACAGCTCTTACCTGTGTCTGTATCAAAACTAACAGTAGCATGGAAGCGTTTGCCATGTTTCAAAATATCTAATGTTAATAGAACTTCAGGGCTTTCACGCTTCTCCTGAATACGGTAAAGAGCACGTTCCAAATTCAGCCAGAAGCTGATTTCTTGCAAAGCGGTACCTGATGCAGGATCCCGATCTAATTTGGTCACCTAAAAAAACAAAATGAAGTAACATGTTTAATAAATTAAGCCATAATTTTATGTGATGTTTATAGTGTTTTTTCCTAATTCTGCTTCAATGTTGCTTTAATATATAAACAGTAAACAGAACAATATGAGCTTCTGAACACCAATCTGTCCACAGAAAAGCAATTATAGCAGAAAACCTTACTTCCAATGCCAGGAATGTGTTAGTGTATAATGCTAATATATGTGTTTTATTTTGGGTTTGTGTACTATATATTATGACCTATACATACAGTAACTACATCCTTTATTATAAAGGAGAGTCCTTTATTTCAGAAAGCTGTCCTTTAGATTTATTTTCTTGGTTTTCCTCCTGAATTTTCCTTTGTAAGACAAAGTTATAATACAAAATTAATAATTTTTACCCCATGAACCTCTTTCAGATTTCCCCCTTTTTTCAAGTTTGTCTTTTATATTTTCCAAGAACATATGGTTCATTGTACTATAAATAATATAATAATGTGCTATATGAACCCAGACAAATGTGATTTATTTTCAATACATCCTGATTAAACTCTAAGGTACAATTCTAAACACATTTTAAAAAAAGTCAGACATCGAGGTTTACTTCTGAGTAAACTTGCATAAATTGTATTGTTATACCCATGTTCTTAAATACGTTTATTTACAACTTGTTCCTAGGAATCCTGAGGGGAATTGGCCAATTGAAAATTTTTGTGTTATTCCTTCACAAGCCTCAGAAAACTGCAGAGGATTCTGGATTACAACTGCACTTATGCAATACAATAAGTGATATTGCTATGCTTCATTCAAATAGTAGCTGAAGCTGCAAACTGCCAGAGAGAGTGTGAAAACCTATCATATTTTTTTCTCCAGGAAATTTCATCTGCCTTTACTGATCCTCTATTTGGGAAATTGCTAATAAAATTCTTGGATTATTAAGATATCCAAGAGCACAGCTTGAGAACTACTCTGATTAATTAGAAATTGAAGCAGTGTTCATTTGAAAAATGTAACTGTAAACCAATGGATTTGAAAGTAGTTGGTTGACTGCACATAAACAAATTGATTTGATTTGATTTTGATTTTGATTTTATTAAATTTATACCCCGCCCTTCTCCCGGAGGACTCAGGGCGGCTTACAGCCAGTTTAAAACAATGATATAATACAACACAAAATTTAAAAAGATTAAAAATAACTATTTAAATTTGGCCGCTTCTACTAAAAATTTAATTTAAAACCCCTTTAAAATACCCCTAGGCCAGTCCTGCCTGCTGAAATAACCAGGTCTTAAGGGCGCGGCGGAAGGAGGGGAGATCCGGGATCACCCGGATCTCTGGGGGCAGCTCGTTCCAGAGGGTGGGTGCTCCG